AGAGAGCGGTGTGTGTAATTTAATTCTTTCCCCTTGAAAGTTCTCTAGAATTCCAACGCAAGACAAAGAGCTAAAATATCACTCAAATGTGAAATATGCAAGGTGTGCAAAGGGGATGTACAATAAAGAAAAAGTCGATATGCGTCCGAAGTAAAATTCACCCGAGAGAACAGTCATTCGGATATGAGTGGCTAAGGGGCAAAAAATATGACTGGATGAAAAAAAACAGCGGGTGGAGACGAGTGTGAGATACGATTGCCCCTGCATCTCCTCCTTCACTCACTGAATGACAAATGGAGACCACAAGATTGCGCCTCCGACATCCAATTAGCCCATCCTTTAGCCCTCTTTCCCTTGCCATCCACAAAAGTTTTGTTCTCTTTCTCGCATCAGCTCACGTTGAATTCACCCTCGTGTGGCATCCCCTTTTCCTCATTCTCTATGTCAGGTGCAGGGGTCACCGCGTCGCTCCCTGTAAACGCTGAGAACGAAAACGAGAAGAGTCTATCCCAACCGAATCTCAGTACGTTGGACGTTTAATCAGCCAACTTCAAACAGTTATTTTCTCCCCTTCTGCCTTCATCATATGGCGACACAATACGTTGCTCATGCGTAAATTTATAGGGACAACAAAACGAGTGGCAAAAACGAGGGAGGTCAATTGCATTTTGTCATCTAATTATGGGTACTTTTAATTCATTTTCGAAATCAGAGAAAATACATTAGTCCAAAATTCATGAACATGTTCGAAATAATATTTTGTACTAGGGGGCTAGGCCCTCTGCTTGCTCCGCTCGCTAAACCTTATATGACGCACATATGATCCACATTATCCTTATCCTCACCCTTGTGACCCTTAATTGGATCCTCGTGACCCTTGATACGACTTTCGTGACCCTAATTCTGATTTTTGACCCTCGAAACGCTGATTTTGAACCTCGCGAGCCTTATTCTGAACCTTATGACCTTTATTCTGACCCTCGTAACCCTTATGTACCCTCACATTGGCCCTCGTGACCCTTATTCTGACTCTCAGACCCTGATTTACCCGTCGTGACCCTTATTCTGAGCCTCATGACTGTGATTTTGAACCTCGTCACCCTTATTTTAAACCGTATGACCCTTATTCTGATCTTTATGACCATTATTTCAATTCTCGTGACCCATATTTTCACCCTTGTGACCCTTAATAGTGGAGTCTTAATTTCGAATACCAAATTTTCATCAACATTTTATAAAAAACTTCGTCAAAAAACTTCATCAGAAAAGCTTCGTCAAAACAACATGGTAATCAGAAAAACTTCACGAAAACATATTTAAACAATTTGAACTTCGAAAAACTTGAAAAAAAATTTGAAAAAATCCAGGAAAATAATACAAACACCACAGTAGAGTATTAATAACGCTTTAATGAATATCCACGAATGAAAATAACAAAATGAAAAAAAAACACGAAACACAATATTGCATTTGTAAACAACGTCTCCAGAGTAAACAATATTGGATCTCACTAATAAGTGATTTGACACAAATTCATAAGCATGACGAAATAAATAACACAACTATTCGTATCCGCAACACTACAAAATTTAACAAATGATCAGTCATTTAAAGCGCCACAATTGAAGCAATCCCTATCAAATACTTAACCAAAATAAGACAGATAACAAAACTATATAGAATCCCATACACAAACACAGGCTTTACTGATATTTTTACAAAGACAAGACAACCGGAAGGTTTCATTGATGAAAGTTCAAATTGACAAAAGTTGATTTAACCAGGTTTTTTTGCCGAAGTTTTTTAGACGTGTCCCATTTTCAGAACCCTGAAAATAATATAGCTCCAAACGTTGAAAAAATTGAGATCCAATTGTATTGACAACACGATGAAATAGTACCAATTATATTTTCGTATCATCATCAAAATTTGGTTTGCTCGTTACTTTTTACGATTCTCAATACGGTTAAAAAGTTTGATTGGATTTAAGTGAAGGTAATTGGAAAGTTTCCAACTTTCATACAGGGTGAAAAATATAGCTGCTAGGTTGGTGAAAAAAGTCAGATCGGTAGACAGTAATTATTATGCATCAGGACTGGTCTTGATTCCACCGTTTGGAAGAATCCCGCGTGACCGAATTATCTGAAATCCCCACTGCAGTGAATTTTACGTTAGCCAGATAGTTTCACTGGGGCATTATTCAGTGAATCCGCTTAACGAACAGGGATAAACGAACGAACACCAATCCAACTTCCTCTTCCCCTCCCTTCCTTCTCCGTGCAGCATGCAGTAATTCTGCTATCGCTCTTGGGCTGAACGTTGAATGAGAACGATGCTTTTCGGGGCTTCCAACTGAACAAACTCAATAGGAGAATGTGTGTATTCATTTGCAACCGGAGACGATGATAACTACAGTTATCAGGGGAATACTGGGATATCCTATCGGTAACAGTGCCAAGAAACTCGCCGAGTTGAAAATGACCCTGCGCACGATGGTGTGCAGTCACCTAAAATGAGAATTATGTCGTTTGTCTAACCCGAAGGAAATTTATTACCCATCGTAAAAAGTTTCTGTATAGTTGTGTGGAGTGTACGTGTTTATACACCGGAGGCAGTACATTGTCTCTCGATACAACAGTATTACTAAGGATATTAAAATTAAGAATAAAATATTTTACGAGGCATGAATAGAAAAACAAGTAGTTGACCGCTCCTATATTGCAGAAGGCATGTGACTGTTACTTTATGTATTATTTATATTTTAATTTTTTATTTCTACCAATTCCATTGGTAGTAAGCTTCCGAATGGATCAACAGTAATTCCCTTTTTTTGAATTTACAGGAAAAACTATTTCCTCACGTCCCATTTCTATCCCAATTTTTCCTCAAGTTATTGTGTGAATAAAGAATTTGGGAAACACCAAAAATGTAAAACCGCTTATACGAAGTTGATTAATTGAAATGAATCTCTGTTGATTAATTGAAATGAATCTCCAAAACTTTGTATAAACGGGTACATATATTTTGATTGACCTAGATAGATGACATCAAGACGAGTACTTTGAAAAACGAGTGGATATCTCGATTTCTGCACACATTAGCGCGTGTACAAGGATTTTAATGAAAAAACAAAAAAAGGAGAATATCTCGAACACTTTGTATGAACAGGTATAGATGTTTTAATTAATCTAGGTAGAGAACATCAAGACGAATATTTGGAAAAAAAATGGAATCGTTTACGAAGTTTTAAAGATATTCAACATAATAGATTTTCAGAAAAAGTTGAATATCTCCGAAACTACTGGTGCGATTGAGCCCATTTTCAATACGAACCTTTGTTATTACAGGAGGAAGATTCTGTCCAAATTTTAAGTTGATATCTCAATTTTGCGAGGGGTAGAGCGCGTACATGGATTTTAATGAAAAAACAGAAAAGCGGAAATATCTCGAAAACTTAGTATGAACGGGTATACATATTTTCAGTGATCGAGATAGAAAAAATCGCCAAAAATATTTTGAAAAAAAAAAATTCGATCGGGTGAATAGTTTTCGAGATATTAAGGAAAAACGAAATTTCGATAAATGACTATATCTCAGAAACTACTGGACCGATTGACTTCAAATTGCGCTCAAAAATTGCACATTGATAGTACCTATTTTGATGCCAAATTGCAGATTTTTATGGATGAATTTCACGGTATTAATGTTATTTTTGCTTCCGAATGGAAGCATTGTATTTCACCGATTTTCATATATTCTAATTTTGCCTGGAAATGATGTAGAATGTTATAAAACGTGAAGAAATGATGTTTAGAAAAAAATGTCTGTACGTCTGTGTGTGACAGATTGAGTTTTCGTCGATTACTTTTTAGAAAAAATAACATTAATACCGTGAAATTCATCCATAAAAATCTGCAATTTTGCATCAAAATAGGTACTATCAATGCGCAATTTTTTAGCGCAATTTGAAGTCAATCGGTTTAGTAGTTTCTGAGATATAGTCATTTATCGAAATTTCAGTTTTCCTTAATATCTCGAGAACTATTCACCCGATGGAATTTTTTTTTTTCAAAATATTTGTCTCGATTTTTTCTATCTCGATCACTCAAAATATGTATACCCGTTCATACTAAGTTTTCGAGATACTGCGGTTTTTCTGTTTTTTGCGTAAAAACCTTGTACGCACGCTAGCTCGAGAAAAAATCGAGATAGGAAGTTGAAATTTCGTAGAATTCTAGCTATTCTAATCCTACAGCTTGCGGTATTGTGTTTGAGGTAAATCGGATGAGTAGTTCCTGAGATATAGTAATTTATCTGAATTTCGTTTTTCCTTAATATCTCATCAACCATTGACCCGATTCAATTTTTTTTCCAAAATATTCGTCTCGATTTTTTCTATCTCGATCACTCAAAATATGTATAACCGTTCATACAAAGTTTTCGAGATACTGCGGTTTTTCAGTTTTTTGCATAAACACTGTTAGAAATAGGATGTTAATTTCTATTAATGATGGCCGGGGTCGGGTGGTGTTTGAAATTATTAAACTCGCGTTGTTTTTTCTGATTGAATTTAATATAATGTGAGGATATTTACACTATTTACAATAGTTGAGTTTCCGTTATTTTGTTGAGCTTCGATTATTTAGTGGACTGTATGTTTATTTCAGATGATAACGTTCGATAATAGTTGTTGATTTCCGTGCTAACTTTCTGCGTGATTTTGATGATAAGGAACGACGTGGGTTCAGTTACGAGTACGGTTTATTACTGACTTTTCAGATTAGATAGCGTTCCCCAGTCGGCCCCTCGGTCAAGTTCGGAATTCCGGAATTTTCACGATCTTGAATGACCGACCATATTTGTTAGTTTTGGCTAATTCGAATCGATTCTAATAGAAATGTGGGTCGGATTTCTAACATTCCGCCCGCCGTCGATGATCCCCTGATTGTCGACCTTTTATTCGCTAGTTGAAGGGCCTGGTTGCTGGTCGTTGTTTTCGATTACATCATGATGTGCTGATTCCCTTGGTTCTCCTTGTTGATCCACGTTGTTGTCTTGTTGCTCCACGATAAAGTCTTGTAAGTCGTCAGCTCCGTTGACTGGCAATGGAACGAGCTTGTGAATTGGTGTTATAATTTTCTTCGCTGCTGTTTTGAGTTCGGCAACCCTGATATGCCGATCTCTGCCTGGTAGTACCGAGATGACCGAGATGATGATAGTTTTCGTCGTAGATGAGGACCAATGTTCCGACTTTTATTTCTATTGATGGTCGTTGCCATTTGTAGATAGCTTGATACTGATGTAGACAGTCTCGTTGCCACTGGTGCCAGAACGATTGTACCTTTTGTGTGATAAGTTGCCACCGATTAAGACGTCCAGTCTTGATAGCCTTGAGATTAGGTTCTGGTACACTGATGAGTGGCTCTCCGATTAGGAAGTGTCCTGGGGTTAATGCTGCTGGATCTTCAGGGTCATTGGTGAGTGGACAAAGTGGCCTCGAGTTGAGTACTGCTTCTATTTAACACAGAAGGGTCGAAAATTCTTCGTATGTCAATGTTGTTGCTCCCATCACTCGCTTGAGATGGAATTTTGTAGATTTGACGGCTGCCTCCCATTTTCCGTCAAAATGGGGGGCTCTCGGTGGGATGAATTTCCATGTTGTGCCCAGCTTTGCTAATTGTGATGTGACAATGTATGATTCACGAGAGGCTGAATCAAATAACCGTTGTAGTTCCTTGCTTGCTCCAACGAAATTTTTTCCATTGTCGCTGGTGATTGTCGTACAGATTCCTCGCCGTGCTGCAAACCTTTTGTATGATGCAAGAAATCCTTCAGTGCTGAGATCAGTGACAAGCTCTAGATGTACCGCTGACGTAGCGAAGCAGACAAATACAGCGACGTATGATTGATAGGTGACTGCTCCGGCAGATCTCCATCGTCTCACTGTGAATGGGCCGGCAAAATCAACTCCACTATGTTGAAATGCTCTGGAGGGGTTGACTGCCATTGAGGGTAATTGTCCCATAATTTGCTGAGCTCGCTGAGCACGATGCCGAGCACAGGTGATGCATTTTAGGATGAATGAACGAACTGGTGTTCTTCCTCCCATTATCCAGTATTTTTGTCGTATTAGAGAGAGTGTTAGCTGCGTTCCCCCATGTAGTGTTCGTCCATGTGCGTCGTTGATGATCAGTTGGGTGAGTTTCGATGATCTTGGGATGATTGCCTGATGTTGCTCCTCCTTGTTGATAGCCGCATTGCTTAGTCTGCCACCCACTCTCAGTATGCCTTCCTCGTCGAGGTACGCCATGAGTTTCAACAGTGGATAACCGTTCGGTAGTGGAATGTTCTCTCTTATTCGATGAATTTCTTCAGCAAAAAATGTCGACTGGGTGTAAGTCAGCCAATGTTTCCTTGCTGATTCGATTTCGATTGGTGTGACTGGTGAAGAGTCTGGTCTTCGCCTTTTGAGAAGGATGTCACAGGCTCTCCTTGCGAGTGCCGTGTTTTTAAGTAGCTCTGACAGATTGGAATGGCCCAATAATAGCTCGTTGTGTTCTGTTACTGGCTGTGTTGGATAAGCTGTAGCTTTTGCTGTTCTTTCTTCGATGCTTGCCTCGGGTGATGATTTTTTGATTGATGATGCTGGCCAATACTCTGGCGATGATGACAACCATGGCGGACCTGACCACCACAATTGATTTCGTACTAGTTGCTCAGCTGTTTGACCTCTGGACGCACAGTCGGCGGGGTTGTAAATTCCACTGACGTGTTTCCATGTTGCTGCTGGTTGAGTATCTTGGATTTTTTGGACTCGATGTTGGACAAAGTCTTTCCACTTGGAGGGATGGTGGAGCTTTGATCCATGTAAGAGCTACCGATGAGTCGCTCCAAAGTGTTGGGTTAATATGTTCAAGATCGAGTAGCTTTTGTACCTTAGTTGTGAGCTCAGCCAGGATTAATGCAGCTCCCAGTTCCAAGCGTGGGATGGTGATTTTCTTTAATGGGGCGACCTTCGTTTTGGCTGCAACTAGTGTTACGATCAGTGGAGATGTTGGTGAGGTTACCCTGAGATAAATTACCGCTCCCATTGCGAGATTGGATGCGTCTGCGAAGCCATGAATCTCCACTTGATCTTCAGTTCTTAAATGTAACCACCTTGGGATGTTGATTTTGCTGAGGTGTTCCAGTTCCTCTCTGAATGTTTGCCAGATGAGAATGGTGTCATCGGATAATCGATCATCCCAATTTACGTTGCGTTTCCATACTTCTTGCATGATGATCTTGGCTCTAGCTATTACTGGAGCTACGATGCTAATTGGGTCGTAAATTTCTGCGATTTCAGAGAGGATGATTCTCTTGGTGATTGCCTTCTTGCTCGCTGCTTTTACGGTGATCTGAAGTGTATCTTTCTGTTGATTCCATTTGATACCAAGTACTTTTGATTCAGTGTCCTCAAATAGTTGTGATGATGATTCGTTTTGTGCTGAGACCTTGAGCTTTTCTAGTAACTGAGGACTGTTGCTGCATCACTTGGAGAGAGGGAAGCCGCCCGCCATACAGAGGTTTTTCAGTTGATTTGCCTTCTCTAGTTCCTCTTCAGTGTCGGCCCCATCGTAGATGTCATCTACGAATTTTCCTCTTGTCATTGCTGCTACTGCTTTTGGATACTTGTGTCCTTCATCCTTGACGAGTTGCTCACAAACACGTAGGGACAACCATGGAGCTGAAGTTGTTCCATACGTGACAGTTGTTAGTTGAAATTCCATGAGGTTATCAGCTTCATCGTACCATAAATTCCGCTGATAGTCCCAATCATCTTCGTGTACTTTAATTTGTCGAAACATCTTGGTGATGTCTGTGCCACTTACTAGGCGATGTTTCCGGAACCATGTAAGCACATCTAGATTGCCGGTTTGTAATTTGGGACCAGCATGGAGAATTTCATTTAATGATATACCTGTTGATGTTCTTGATGACCCATTGAAGACTACGCGAAGCTTGGTTGTAAGGCTCGCTTCACAAAGAATTCCGTGGTGAGGAAAGTAGAATGCTGATACTGGCTCTGGGTTTGATGATACTCGTCTCATGTGATTTAATTGTTCATACTCATTTATGAAATCTTTGTACAATTTACCGAAGTCCGTTTCTTTCTCCAATTTTGACTTCGTTCATTTCAGTAGTTTCAACGCTGTTGGTCTGGACTCTCCCAGCGCTTTGGTGATGATTTGAATGGAAGACGTACGATGTATCGACCATCTACGTCTCTTGAAGTATTTTTGACGAAGTGATTTTCACACTCCGGTGTCATTGACTCTGTTGATTTGCAGTTGACTTCCTCTTGAATCCAAATTTTTTTAATCAATTCAAGAAGTTCTTGATTAGCTGTTTTCTTCACTGTAGATAATGAGGCTATTCAGCTGTCTGGTGTATTCATGGGCCCTGAGATGATCCAACCGAATATTGATGATTGTGCTATTAGTTCGCTTCGCTGGAGTCTGATTAATTCGCCCGTGATAAGTTTCCCATAGTAATCTGAGCCAATGACGAGATCTACATTTCCCGATTCCCAGAAAGTGGCATCTGCTAGTTCCAATTTGTTGAGTTGCTCAAATTCCGGTGGCTTGCACGTATATGATGGTATTTTTGCAGTGAGCCTATTGAGGATGTAGGCGTTTACGTTGATTTGTTCTGCTGTTTCGCGATTTGATTGGAGTGTCACTTTGACAATACCTTTGGAGCTCCCTGGTGATGATGTTCCAATGCCAACAATGCTGACATTGGAAGATTGCCTCTTCAACTTGAGCTTGTTGACGAGCTTGGTTCTCGGTGATGAGCGTAATTTCTGAACCTTGATCGATGAGTATCCTTACGGGTATTTCGGCATCCTGAGAAGATATTGCCTTTGCGATCGCTGTTGCTAGGAACGTCAACTTGGAAGTATGATCAGCTGATGATAGATTGGAATTGTTCCTTGCTGATGAACTGTTTGAAGACATCTTATTGTTGATGAAGTTGGAGATTGGGTTGGAGACACCTGGATGACGACCCTTTGATTGGCATTGACCTCTGATTGTCGAACTTGTAGCAACTGGAGATGTGGTAGAAGACATCTGATTGTTGAGGTTCCCTGCGTCATGAGATTTCTTGGGCGATGTCTTGTCCTTAGTGGTCTCGGTGACGGTGTTGTTTACACTTGGTGAATTTCCGTTTACGTTACGTAGTCTTTGCCAGGAATTCCTTGTAGGTGAGTTTCGTTTTTTGTGTCTCCTTCCAACTATGAGTCATTCGTTGGGATTTGCTGATGTCGATGTACTCGTTTATCCGATGGCTGAAGCGATGTCTCTGTTCTCGTGAATTAACGTGTGATGCTGACGATCACACGTTCGACACGTCTTTTCACTGATGCATTTATCGACTTTATGAGGTCCTAGGCAGTTCCAGCATAGATCCAGCTGTTGAATGGCTTCTCTTCGTTGCTTGACCGTCATGTCCTTGAACTTTGTACAGGAATATCCGATAAAGTGATTTCCCTTACACAGTGTGCAGCTCTTTTCCTTTGATCCTGACTGTTTCGTTGGAGCTACGTCTGATTTCTTTTCCCGCTGATTGTTCGTGCTGGATACTGTGTGAGTATAAACTGTGGATTTCTTATTTGCATTTGATTTCCCATGGTTATTGCTGTTCACGGTTGTTGAGTTGATCGGGTTGTTGCTATCGACACTCTCGAGGGCGTTTGCTCTGGCTTTCAGGAAATCCATGAATTCCTTCAACGAGGGCACCTTGGTGGACGCTCCTAGTTTCTCTTCCCATTTTTCCCTAGTGTCGGGATCGATTGCAGTCCTCATGATGTGATTGATAATTGCGTCCCAGCCTTCTACGTTAATGTGAAGTGCTTTCAACCCGTTGAGTGTTGATGTAGTTGTGTCGATAACTTCTCGAAGACCTTTCGCCGATTTTTTATGCATTGGTGTCATGCTCATGAGATTAGTGAACAATGACGTGACGATTAGCCTCTGATTCTCGTAGCGATTGGTGAGTTTCTTCATTGCAATATCGTAATTTTCGTTCGTTGTTGTAAGATTTGCAATGATAGCCTTTGCATCCCCCACTAGACAACCTTCCAATCTGATCATCTTCTCGACTGGGGTGATATTCTTGTTGCCAACCATCATGTTGAAACGATCGATGAATGACTTCCATTCCTTGTACTGTCCGCTGAATTTTGGCAAGTCCATCCTTGGTAGCTTGCTTTCTGATTCACTATTTCTTTGGTGTGGTGTAGATGGGCGATATCTGTCTTGAAGAATGCCCTTGTATTCGCTCAGTATCTCGCTGATCTCCCCGTGGAGTGTCATCATTTTTTCGAAATATTGAGACACGTAGTACGTGTGTTGCAGGTCCAATTGAGATGCTGTAGAATTCAATGACTCGTGGTATCTGGTAAAGTCATCGAACAGCTTGTTCGCTTGATTTTGATAATTTTCTAGATGAGTTTCTCGTATAGTCTCAGGGTTTAGGTTCCTGATCGTCTGGTAGATGCTTCTTAGTTGATTCAGTCGTGATCGCTGTGTTATTGCACCTGCGGTCATACGACTGATGTGGAGAGATGAATGAGGAAGGGTTGATCCTTTCTGATCCTCATCCTCTATTGATGATGTTGATGATGTTCTTTCCTTTGTTGATTCTAGCCCTTCTCTAGTCTTGCTGACCGTTGAGTTTTTGCCTGAGTAATGGCCAATTAGATTCTGGAGCGTGACGTTGTCGTCAAGAGGGGTTTTTTCCTCCGCTGCTTTCTTCTTGGCGTCGTCATTAAATGCGTCAGCCCAGGTCTCACGATCGGTTTTCTCTAGCTGCCTCGTTGATTTTTCTTGATCGTCGAGTTTGTCATCTCTGTCCATTTTTAACAAACGATAAAAATCCCACTTTAGCTGATTTTTTGATTGATAATTCCAGTAGGATAAAGTAAAACTGCACTTACTTCGACCGCAGCGAGAGTTGTATTTGCCTCGCTGCGGATTAGCTGGCTGGAGAGAACAATTCTTAGACGTTGCTTCGATGAATCTCTTTTCCGAAGAATTTCCTTGGTGGGCTGCCCGGCCAGGCAGTTGTATGGAGGGGATGTTCTACATTGAGTTTCGAGGTTTTAGTCGATGAAAATTCAAGTTGATTTCGATGCCGGTTTGATGTAAACACACGGCAGCAATGAATTGTCTGAGATTGTTCACTCACTAATACTGCTATTGTCCTTTGATTCTATTCACTCGCGTGAATACCGATTTGATGACGTAAATCCGAATTCTTTGATTTTGGGCTTGTTAATCCCTGACGCTCAACGTACTTCGCTTTTGATCATGAACTCGCCGAATACTTGTATCGATTCTTTCCGGTTTTTTGTTGATTGTCCTCGCGAACTCGATAATTTTTTACAAACTTTTACCACCACGATCCGGCTCGAAGGACCATATGTTAGAAATAGGATGTTAATTTCTATTAATCATGGCCGGGGTCGGGTGGTGTTTGAAATTATTAAACTCGCGTTGTTTTTTCTGATTGAATTTAATATAATGTGAGGATATTTACACTATTTACAATAGTTGAGTTTCCGTTATTTTGTTGAGCTTCGATTATTTAGTGGACTGTATGTTTATTTCAGATGATAACGTTCGATAATAGTTGTTGATTTCCGTGCTGACTTTCTGCGTGATTTTGATGATAACGAACGAAGAGGGTTCAGTTGCGAGTACGGTTTATTACTGACTTTTCAGATTTGATAGCGTTCCCCAGTCGGCCCCTCGGTCAAGTTCGGAATTCCGGAATTTTCACGATCTTGAATGACCGACCATATTTGTTAGTTTTGACTAATTCGAATCGATTCTTATAGAAATGTGGGTCGGATTTCTAACAAACACCTTGTTTTCATTAAAATTCTTGTTTCATTATAAATCTTGTGTGCACGATAACTCAAGAAAAAATGAAGGTAGCGACTTAAACTTTGATATGCTTCTAGCTTTCATAATATAATAGGATAAAAGTTTCGTATTTTGGATGGGCGGAATGAGTCGAGCGGTTCTGGAGATATTCAAGTTTTTGTATAAATTTATTTCTTTAAATATCTCATGAACTATTCAACGGATTTCAATTTTTTTTTCAAAATACTCGTCTCGGCGGCCACTATTTAGATCAATCAAAATATGTATATCCGTTCATCCAAAGTTTCCGAGATATTCCCGTTTTTCTTTTTTTTTTCATCCTTGGGCGCACGATAACTTGAGACAATAAGACGATATCAAGTTGAAATTTGGTATGATCATATCTCTAATAATATTAAAGGTCCATATTTCGAATGGGTGCAATCGGCCCAGTAGTTTGGAAGATATTAATTTTTTTGTATAAATCCGTTTTATCAAAAGGTTAAATATACAATTTTTTTTAATAAAATGATTTTATGCGTGGTAGAAAACATTTATGGTTTCTCATTCGATTTTCTTCTCGTCTTTTATGAAGAAAATGAATTGTTTGGAGACACTTTCGACAAATTGCCCAGGCTATCTAAAATTATTAATAGGCCCACTCATCAAGCAATCTCGAATCCAGCAATCTAATCTCTAATTTTCAAGGTTAAATTTCTTCAATATCAAGTGTTAGTTAATAATTTCCACATAGAAACAGAATTAATGTGGTTGCGTATGTATGCCTGTCTTAGGAACAGGGAAGTGGTACGGATTCATTCGGAAGCTTACTACCAATGGAATTGGTAGAAATAAAAGAAAGAAAAAGACTTATAAGACAAAAAGTAACGGTCGCATGCCTTCTGTCGAATAGGTTTGAACCCCTGCTTGTTTTTCAAAATATTCGAGACGAATATTTTGAAAAAAAAAGTCGAATCGGTCCACAAGTTTTGAAGATCTACGCGAAAAACGACTCAAATACAAATCGTTTTTTCTCAAAAACTATTGGACCGATCGAGCTGAAATTGTGCACAGAGTTAGTTCTCAGTAAGGCCTATAATCTGACAAAATTTCAGATTTTTTGGAAATACTTTAGTCACCTTATTACTCAAATTTCTAAAAGTTGACCACCGGGAAGGCGGCAGTGGACGTGTTCACATACAGACATGGTCGTCAAACTTCGTATTTTTCCGTTTCAGACCATTCTACATCATTTCCAAGCAAAATTGGAGAATCGAAAAATCGAACGATTGCAAAGCTTCCATTCGGAAGCAAAAGTCAGACAATTAATTTAATTTTCTTCCCGCTTTACGATTTCGACCAATCATAGCAGTAGTCGGATTCCTGCGACATCAACTCTATTTTGACTAATCGCGATCTCACGGCGTAAAAATAGACTAATGAGAGATGATAGACTCAGTCAAGAGGCCGACAGGCTCTGGAGATATTTGTGATATATTCGAGGTATTTCGATATAAGGTGCCAGCATGTGTGTGAACCTTCTAAGACGGGGTAACTATTATCGGAGCCATACCTCCACGGTACCGTCAAGGTAGAGGTACCCGAACGCATACTACTAATTATGACATATTTCTAAATTTTTGTATTTTTTCTGCCTTTTTTACTCTTAATTAAATTATGGTAGAAACGGAAAACTATAATCTGTTCGACCCAAGCTCAATTTATCAGATTTAAAATAGGAATCTTTTTATAATTTTAATTTTATGACGGACTGCACTGCCACGACACTTCAGGCGCCATCTCTTAACCGAGTTGGTTACAGACGCTGGTCGGTGTAGCGTGTGTCAAACGGAAAATGTAGGCAACAAATAAATATAGTATATTTTGCATCAAGGGCGGAAATTCATGTTTTCCCGCCCGAGGTGCACATGCTATTTTTTAACACGCCTGCAAAGGAAAGTTCGTATTTTCCGTTCCGGCGGGCGCAAAGTTACATTTCCCTCCCGCTTCGCGGGAGGGAACTGTGACTTTGCGCCTACGCCGAGACGGAAAATCGCGTTCTAACCACGGGAAGTAAAATAAAGGACCCTCAGCCGCGTGCTTACCAACCTCGCCTTCGGCTCGGCTGGTAATTGCACTGGCGGCTGAGGATCCTTTATTTTCCCTCCCTAGGTTAGAAATATACTATTGCTCTTTGATGAGCGGGAGGAAAGTGAGTACTTTCCACCCGGGGCGGGAAGTACTCACCTTCCTCCCGCTCATCAGGAAGCAAAGTACGAATTTTCAGTGTAAGTGTGTGAAAAAAATCATTATTTATGGTGAAGAGAACGGCCGATTAAGTGATTGAAATTGAAAAATAGGAAAAGGAATACGCGAAATCGTAGAAAAATTGATGATTGGATCCTGACGCATTGAAAAATCGAACGTCGCTATATTCCAACGATCCATTTAACCTCACCTGTCAAACAAATTCTCCTACATCGTATCATTCTTTTTTTCATCAAAATATTGTTCCGAGGATTAAATTTATTGTTTAATGATTGATCTATGACAGAGGAAAATTAAAAACGAGAAAGGAGTAAAATTACAGTGTAGAGGAGTTGGACAAAGCACTGGCAACTCTGAAAACTGGACAAAGCTTAAAAACAGTGAGCAGATTCTACCAAATACCAAAGACGACCCTTTATGAGAAAAATATAACAATTGTGTATATAACTAATTGAGTAAAGACTTTAATTAACTCAACACGTTAGAAGAATCATTTAACGTGGTATACGAGCACAAGAAACTGCACCGTTCGGGTTTAGCGCCTTTGCTCATTTAGATACTGAACGGCTCGTCCATTTTCTCTTACTATTATTCATAGGTTGATGAATTTTATATCAAATTGTTTTTTTTTCTACGCGAATAATATTGAGGTTTCCAAAGAATTAATTTTTTTGGCGATTCTACATCTGAATAATGAGAAAAACGCATTTTATTACCGGAAAATTATTACACGTTCGGGTACTGGTACCTCCACGGTATATTGTCGATGGTTTTCACTTCTTTGACAGAAATTCTTCAGCATGCAGAAAATTATCATCCGAATGTTCCTTGACCTTTGAAATTCATCGGGTATTTTTTGATAGTTTTGGTATATAAAAGACGAAGCGATAAGTTTTGCAGATTTCACTGGAAAATTTATTCCGATCATTAATATGCAGGAACACTTGACTGAAATATCCAGTAATTTTGAAAACTTCGAGGTATTGCAACCGATTATTGTTATCTGCTTCAGGGATTTTTAATCCTCAAATATTCTGGTAAGTCAATTTCTGATACACAAAGGCGTCGATATTTATTAGGGAAAATAGGAAAGAGTTGGTGGAAAAGACGTAGAATGGCAGGAGGAAGGAAGAAAGGGCAACTAAATCTTTGATGGCAGAGAAAAGCCGGATGCCGTGGTTTAGTGAGAGGCATGTGGCGACCACGTTCGTTTGCGTTATACGGCGAAGGGTCTCCGTTACTAATTGCTCATTAGGCTTTAGATCACAGGCATTCCCCGCGTTTACGCATAACTGGAGTTGTACGTCGGGCGAGGGAGTCATGTAGGTGGATGTGTGTGTGGCATCCCTCTTGCTTATAGATTCGCTGGAGGACGGTCGTTTCAGCAATTAAACGGTCGTTAATTAAAAATTGAAAACGAGATGAAAAAAATTATAGGATTTTTTTACTGATGACGAAGAATACAAATAGGTATTCCACATTCTAGAAAAATGAATGGGAATTAAGAAAAATTGATTGGAATTCATTGTTTCATTGCATCCATTTTTTCCGTTCTATCCCCGATTCAATTTTTACGTAATTTCTAGTTTATTTTCCTCTCCCTCATTCATTAGATGATATATTTTTCAAGGATTAAACTGAGATATTTCATTAGAGAAATTCATACACCAGGTAAATCAGCATCAAGTGTGATGTATTCAGACGACCAATGAAATGCTCTT